AAAGAAATTGTCCTTTAAAAGGAGCTATGAGGAGGGCACGGGAGGACACATTTGCCTTTATTCTCAAGTTCTCCAGCACATAAATGTGCGGCCTCCCCTTTTGGTTCCCCCTTCCCTCCAACCAAAGGACAATCTATTCATTTGCAGAGCTACAAAAGCTTGTCCTCATCTCACTGCATTTGGCTCATCATCCTGCTGCATATGCACAGTAGTACATGGGTGGGCGACCTCATTTGAGAGTTGATTTCATTATAGATCAAGTGTGTTCCTCCCATCACGTATCTCATATTTATCTTCTTCCCTGATGAGGACTTCTTAATTAAAGCATGAGCAGTTTGTGACAGAACAGCATCTTCCGAAGATTTTCTTTCCTGGGTGCACAAATGCATTGTTCTCCAAAGGGCAGGCTCGTAATATTAATTTAAAGGCAAGGTTTTATTGCTGCATCCTGCTGTGGATGCTGGTCACCTTTCTAGGCAGTATAGCAAGAATCAGAATTTACAGGCTGATGATGGATTTGGCTGTGTATGCATCTTCAGTGGGAATTTTTCTGGTTATTACAGTCAGGCTGATGTACTGTGCTAATACAAGCTTGGGTTGGCTTTGCCACTGTGTTTTTCAGCAAAGCTGGGGCCATACATGTAAAGAGAACGGCATCTTTGTCCCTAGTCCTGTCCCCAGAAAGAAAAATTGAGTTCCCTTGTTCCACCAGCAACTGAAAACCTGAGGAGAGCATATTGCTTGTGGGAAGGTCTTTCTGGTTGCTCTAGTTCTCTCTTCTAAGAGCCTTGGCAGTTTCGCAGTGATCCTGCCCACTGTCCCGAAGGCACCGAGGTCCCATCAGTGCAGCGCTGCAGCGGGAGCCGTGCTGCCTTCAGCACCCAAGCCAGTGCTGAGGTGCTGCATGGCTCAGACTCGAGCATGGCCCCGCTCGAGCAGCTCCGTGTCCTTCTGCTGTTGGGGGCCCCCGAGCTGGCCCCAGCACTGCAGGGGGGTCTCCCCAGAGCGGAGCAGAGGGGGAGAATCCCCTCCCTGGCCCTGCTGCCCCCCCTGCTCTGGCTGCAGCCCAGGGCACGGGTGGGTTCTGGGCTGCGATCACATATTGCTGGCTCACAGTCCATTTTCCATCCACTAATACCCCCAAAGTCTCTCCGTAGGGCTGCTTTCCAGCCACTCACCATGATGTACACAGGCTCTTAGTCACATCTCCTATGTCCAGATTTTCACAAACTTTTAAGGCAACTAAAGATGCAGGTCAGCCTAATGGGACTGATAAAGCACTGATAATTAAAGTGGCACCACTGGGGTGTTTAGACCATTGGTGTGTTTTTTCAGCTCTCTGGAGGATCTCCCCATGGTTATGAACACTCGTATCCGTTTGGACATCTCTGCTTTAGAAGGTGGACAAACACTGACTGATGTGTTGTCTAGAGAGCAGTGAGCAGCCAGCCTGTGGTGACGACCTCTGAGAGAAACTTCTTAAATCTCAGGATTTGTATGACATACGGTGAAAGTGTGCACCTGAGATAGTGGTCAAACTCATGAGTCATTGCCCTGGGCTCAAGGCCAAGATCTGAATACAGATGCTGAACATCATTTCCAGTGATGTAAAATCCTCCCTCAGCCTCCACGTAGCATTAAAAGCATTAAACCTGCTGTGAAACCTCAGTGCTGTGAGCGGCAGCCTGTGTCACCGAACTGACATGTTGCCAGGGTCCTTCAGAAAGAAGCTTTTCCTCCTCAGCTCCGGTTGTCTTCCTGGCTGTCACTCTCTCACGGTGACTAGAAGAATAGAGGTTTAACCAGCTTAATGGCACTTGCCATGACTGCATGTGGGTGCTAAAAGCACACTCTGAACACTCAAATTAGAAGATGACACACGCATCGTGGCTGGAGCGCAGTTGTCAGAAGAAACAACTCAAATCTTTTCCAAACAGCTGTTTGACTGCCAACACTCGTTTGGGTGCACCAACTGCGGGAAGGCCTATGCTTAAAATAAATGGGTTTCCAGACCAAGCAAGCAGCAGATTTGACTTATTCAGCATCTTTTGCTGGCTTTCACATTTTCTACCATCTTGCACCACGCAGGTGGCCTGGCTGAGCAAAGCAGGAGAGAGAAGGTGCTTCTTCTCAATGACAAATCACTCCAGTAAAACCCAGCTGTAGCTGGCAGCCTAGACACTGGAGTTTGGACAGGAGCTGGGGGGATATCACAGCTAGGCCAGCACCATGTCTCCTTCACTGGCTTCCCTGAAGGCTTTGCAGGCTCCGATTACACCCCTAGTTTCAGGGTGTGTTCCTGATCGCTGCTTATACCGTCCACAGATAAAGGTATTTTGCAAGATCTTTCCTGCTTTTTGCCCTCAGACACATCAGTACACTGTAACCCCAGAAAAGCAATATAAAGAGCACCAAAATGTTTGCACAATTTAATACATGCAGATTAGGGAGAAACAGAGGCACAGTCATTGTGAAGTGGAATGTTTCTGGGCTCTCGGGGCAAACAGATTTATGTAAAATATTGATGGGAATTTTTAAACTCGGTAGACCTACTTGTGAATAAAAATGACAGATTAATAATGAATGATTAGTGTTATTTTTAGTAGCAAGGGTATGTATATAGTAATTGAAGTCATACTCCATAAAACATTACTCCTGTTCCCTTACACAAACGCTTGATAATCTTAAAGAGACGTAACACAAGGAGTCCAGCTGTTTGACGCACTGTACAGAGCCCAGGTGAATATTACTTATATTAACAAGATTGCAAATACAGGGCTGAGTGCCTACATTTTCAAGTCATTGGAGTTCTCACTTAATTTGGGGGTTCTAAAATTAAACCTTTTTGATTTGGTGTTTTATTTTTAAAACAAAACCAAAACTGGTTGTACTATGACTCTTTTTCCAGTGGACATCTGGATGGTCAGGTGTGCAGGGCCTGCATTACGGTAAAGGTGATACTTGAACATAAAACTATACATTTGAAGCGTAGGTATATTTGAGAGAGATTGGAGTGGGGAAGCAGATGGCTGCAGTGGAAGACAAGGGACAGAGCTCAGGCCATAGGAGAAACCATGTAAATAAGATTTGTTGACTTTTAAAGGTGTCTTATTTACAGAAAAGATAAGATTAAGCATCACTACATAAACCCTGAGCCACAGAGTTGATGCTACAACTGGTTCAGCATTTCTCAGAGCTAAGCTGACAGAGCCCAGTAAATGTCCTATTACACATGGATCTGGATGCCGTATCTTGGGCCGCAATTCAAAGCCAGCAACCACAGAAAACTTGGATCATTTGCAGCAGACAAGCCTGACAGGCAAAAAGTATGTTTTCTTTGAGTGGAACCAGATTGTACAGCAAGCCATGGCTGAGCATCAAGTAATGGTGATTAGGTCAAGAGACCAGCCTAAGGTTTTCCAACCAGTCCAAAACATGTATTTCAGTCTAAACAACTGCCACCACCTAGGGCTAACGCACTTGAACCCAGACCTTTTGGAAACAGACACTTTTGCTGCTCTGATGAAACAACGTATTTGGGGATACCTGTTCTGTATAGATCCAGGCTGATGTAGGAGAAAGGCTGGACTGTGGAAACTTAATTTTGCTCTCATTTACATGACTTTAAATCTGGAGTAATTTCATGTGTCAGTGGGATTCATAGCAGGACAGCAGTATCATGGTTTGCAGTGCTGGTTGTTGGTGCCACACTGTCACCATCTAGTTTAACACCCTCAAGTCCCTGGAATAGCTGCATTAGATGCACACAGCGGGTTGAGGGTTTTAAATCTGCCATTTTCAGGACATTTTGCATGGGCAGAAGCATTACCTCTTGTGTTTTTTATTGACCTCATCTCATACGTAGCCCCTAGAAAAAACAGCAGTGTGCTTTGTTTGGTTTTGGGGTGCATGAAGACACAAGCAGAGTATTTTCTTAAGTGCTTGTTCTGCTTTTCTGACAACATTTGCTTCAGTTTCAGTTGATGCACATTCAGATAAAGGATGTTCTTAAGGTGTTTTTGGTCTACTGGTTTTATTCTGGGAACTGTAGGTTTTTTAGTGTGGTCTTTCACTGCAAACAGGACTGTACTGTATGTGCTGCCACTGGCCTGTTCGAGCGTGGCACGATCATCACAAGTGGGTGCCAGTGGTTGACCAAGTGGGGCGAGGTGTTGGTAGCCCCGATGCTGTTTGCCAGTTGGCACAGCATCTCCTCTGGATCTAGAAGGCAAAGAGCACAGCCCTCTCTGGGCTGATGTGCAGTGACCACAGGGAAAAAAAGGATAAAAGGCTCCATCTGAGCATGAAACATTGGGAAGAATCTGAGCTCTTTCACAGCAGCCCAGTCTACAGCAGGGATGGCCAAAGCTCCCTTTTAATTCTGCAGCTGTGAAGCAGAAACAAACAGCAGAGTGGCTTGTACTGTATAATTAAATGAGGAGGTCCAAGCCTTGCTAACATTTTTGAGGGCTTACGAGGAAAAATGTTATTGTCTTCACTGTGGTTCTGACAGGGTAGCTGTGAAAGAACTTTGTCCTTTTTCAGGCCTGTGTGGGAAGGCAGGATAAACACAGCGTATCTCTTCAAATCTCACCAAACTTCCCAAAGCTAATGTGAGATTGTACAGGCCTTGCCCATGCCCTGGATGCCAAGACAGAGTTCAGATGGGGGCCAGATCTTGCTATTTTGAATCCACTGTTTTGACTGAAGTGCTGCACGTAGGGAAAGAGCTGCCCTTACCTGCACCATATCTCCTACAGTGGGACCCACACTGCGCTCATGCCTTGCGTCAAAAGGATGGTCTTATACAGGTTAGGCTGTTTCAGTCAGGCAAACGTGAGTCTTAATTCAGGGCCATCAGTTTTCCTCCCTGGTCTTTTTTCTGCATCTGTACAAGAGGGACTGATTTGGGAAAGCTGATGAATCAAGATGAACAAATACTGCTATAATTCACAAGTTATAGTCAACACACACTTGCTAAATAAAAGCATCAGAAGAGGTTTTTATCGGCCTAAATATTGAAACCAAATTTTATTTTTTGAAAATGACATTACACACATCTTGCAAATGTACATTTAGATGAGAAAACAATGAGTAACAAATATTGAGAGCAAAGCTATAAAGTGGACAGGTTCTCTGCTGCATGGCATTGCATTACAAGAATACTCAGACCTGGGATGGTTATTACAAGTAGTAAAAACAGTTCACAACACCTCACAAAAATGGAATTTTTTTCTAGAAAGTCAAATCTTCTAACAAAAGGAAATTCTGTTAAGGGAGAAGAGGCATGGGGGATAGATGTGTGGATCTAGGTACATTTTGTGGTTTTGTGGCAGGGCTTTGTGGGGTTTTTTTAAGTCCATTTCTAACAAAATCCATCTTTGTGAGAGACCCCCTCTTTTCCAAGACTTTGACTGTTTTCTGTCTTCCATTGCCAACAGAACCACAGCTATTAAACGATGAGCCCTGCGTACTCAACTCAGAACTTGGGAGTGCGGAGATGGAGTTGTCTACAGAACCCCTAACAATTCCTATAGACCATCTGCCCCCTTCCCCCCCACCGCCGTGTATCCAGGAAAATCAAAAAGTGTGTGCAAACTCCGCAAATCAGGGGCCGTGGGACTAGTCCCATGTAGAACACCACCAGGTGTGGAAGCCACGGCCAATACACCACGTGCCACAAGCCTCAGCTGCAATGGATCAGCGAGATCTCATCGTTTACCAGTGACGCAAACTTCCAAAGATTTAACTTGTCCCCCAGTTCAAGCAGAGGCAACAGGTGACTGATCTCCATCTGGTTTACCTTGAAAGTTAGAGTCTAATCGAAGTGCCAAGGCAAGGCGCTGTGAGAAATAAGTTCCCCGAGAGAACCTGTTGAGAACTGCTTTTCAAACCTCATTGTGTATCATTTTACTTATGCCCAAATCTGTACTTTACAACCACGAGAGAGACAAAGACAGAGTAAGAGAGAGGGAGAGAGAGAGAATCTTCCCAGGAGGAAAGGAAGAGCTAATTAAGAAGAGAGAGGTACAGGACCATGCATTTACTCTCAAAAGCTTGTTCACGAGCAAGCTAACATTTCTAACACTACAACCACTCATCTACATCTGTTTGCTAAGTAACTGAGTTCTACCTACAACTAGGGAGCAGAAGGGTTTTTTTTTTTCCTTTTCTTCCCCCTCCCTTTAAAACGTCAATAAAAATGTTTTCTGTACAAGTTGAATGGCACAAAAGGTGGTTAAAATGCTAAATAACTCACCACAAATGGAGAATGCAAAATTAGTTCAAAACATGCATGGACAGTGTACAGGTAAGCAAGGAATCATTGGCATAAAGCTGCAATATATTACAAGATGATACAGTTGAGATCTTTTGGAATAACCTCTGCTTGTTCTGTCCCTTTAAGAGAACTTCACATAAAAATTCAGCATAAAGGAAATTCAAGGTATATATCCAAGCAGAAAGTTAACTATGGGCAACGTTATTTGTCTGAAGAGAAAAGCATTTCCCCTCCCCTTCCACACACTCCCCCAAGGTACAAAAGTCAACATGGTTAGCATTGCTGCAGGCTTGCCAAAAAGAAAGGTTAGATAGATCTGGTTTAGGAGAACAAAAGCACCATTTAAATTAATAGCTCTTTGTACAATGACATTAATTAAATACCTTATTACTTAAACAAAAACAAACTGAAATTTACCGATCCCAACAAAATAACAACTGAACCCTTACCACCCACATGTCCTCCAAGGTTATGTACACAGAGTTTAAAGTATACCAGCTAAACTTTAAACCCGGCTGCCCCTCCATCCCCCACCCACTGAATGACAAGAGAAAATACATCATGGCCTCTCAGTTATATTATATTGCAGCTTTGTTATTAATGATGAAATCATACAAACTCAATGAATGACCTAAGACAGTAACCCATGATCAGGTTCCAGTTCAGCTGCTTATCTCCCTCCCTCAACACAACTTGCTGGAAAATCCGCAGCTCAGAGAGAGCCACAGAGCGCAGGGCCGTGAGCAAAGGCAGTTCATGCTCTTCAGAGAAGAGTGGCATGAAGAACTCAGGTGTATGCAATGAGAGCCGCTAACCCTAGCTTGTGATTAGAGTTGTGATTAAGAAATTAGGCAAAGGCTAGTAACAGCAATGTCGGCAAGCTGAAACTCCTTTCCTGTGCTTCTAGACTAGACAGTGTCATAAAATACAGAGTACCACAGAGGGGAATGTGTCGTCATTTCAGAGACTAGAAGGAGATTTGGCTAGACAGGTTTCCTCTATCTAAAAGACCCTGGGTGTCTTCTAAATTGATAATCGCAGCTGTACTAGTACTGCCACAGTGATAAAGCTGCTTGGATCACACATCATTTAAATAAGAAGCAAACTAACAACAACTTTACGTGTCAGAATTCAGCATGTAATTACAACTCACAGGCTTTCTTGTTCTTACATTCAATACTTCTGCTTCACCTTATCTATAAACACCAATTAGCAGTGCAATTAATTCCCTAGACATTCTTCTTTTTAAGGAGACATTAGACATCACACTAAATCTGGAAATAGCTCTTCTGTTGTAAAGAGGGGTGGAAAAAAAAAAAAAAAAAGGAAAAAAGGGTGTGTGTTTTGCAACCCCTCCTGACTGTGTGGTCAGCATGAGAGGGAAACAGAGTATCATTACATTTCATCTGCCACCTGGGAAGAAAAGTAAATTAAATATCCATCCCTATCTGCTGTGCTATGCTTGGAAGCAGATGGACAAAAGAAGCCATGCTGGAATTAAAAAACAAAACAAAACAAAAACAAACAAACAAAAAACCCAAACACAACAACAACAACAAAAAAAAAAAAACAACAACAACAAAACCCCCACTAAATGTTTCACAGGGATTCTCTGAAGGTAAAATTCTTCATTCCAAGAACTGGGCCTGGACCCCAACTCAGGGTCCATTTGGTCCATTACAGACATTTCCGAAGTTTGACTCTGCACATGGGTTTCTCAGAAACTCAGGGGTTCAGAACCAGGGTTTGGTTCAGGTCCACCCTGGCCAAGTGCCACCAACGTGTTTCATTCTGACTGCATGTGCCAGGTGAATCGCTTTGCTCTGCAACAACCCCACTGTTCAAATGTGACTGAAATTAATCTCAACTTCCTAAATGTAACCATCACAAATAGAGATGGAAGAACCAGCTTGGATAGAAATCAAAAGCAGCCTTGAGTTTAGATGAGTCACCCACAATGAACTGAACCTTCTTTTTTATGTTCAGAGACATTTGGTAATACTTTTCTATAAAAACCAAGCCAACCATAAATCTCTATTCTGCTTGGTAGTAGCTGGGACTAGAGTAGAAAAAATACTGGAAGAAATAGAAGTGTTATTTCTAGTTCCTTAAACCTGCTGGGCTCAGGACACGTCTATTAGTAGACTGAAGTGAGAGTAAAGTGAAATAAAGCCAACACTCTTTAGAACCAGGAAACATAGAGGACACTAATTTGCTAAGGTTCCTTCTTTAATTTTCAATTCTACAAGTTTAAAGATATTTAAACAAACTACTTCAGCTTTATCATTAACTATAATAAAACTATACAAAATATCTCCCATATATAACTTACTATTAGAGGTTCATACAAGAGATCACTTTATAGCTGGGGTCAATGAGGTTTTCTCTGCAAAGTCTGCAGCTGTCACCCAGGAAACTGAATCTGCACTTAAGTAATCAATCACACAAAAATTATTGACAGTAATCAATCTTTGAAATTGGAGACCAACCTTGGACCAAATGGATTCAGCTCCCTTAATTACAGAGGACCTTCTGCCTGTTTAAAGCAGCGAAGAATTAGGTGTATTGGGTTTCACTTGTGCTATATTGAGCATCTGAGAATCTACGGAAACAAAGAGGTGCAATCTTTATGTAGAAAAAAAAATAAATCTGAGACTAAATAGCAAAAAAATGTGTTCAGATAAATAATCTGTTATGCCTTTTAGGATTAAATTCATAAGCACTGTAACTCAACTGAATTTAGAAAAAATATCTCATGAGAAAACCTGTGTTAAACACAGATCCCCTTGTTCAGCACGGACTTCCCATTGATCACTGAAGGCAGCAGCTCTCTCATACGTGGCCAGGCATTGCATGGACAAGATCATCAGCCCCTCTGCCTGCACAGCAAATCAAGGTAACCTCCTCCAGGAGCCTGTCTTGGCTGTTCACCCTGGTGCAAGTGGGTTGTTACTTTTTCCAGAGTTTGCTGAGCAGCCTGGGAAGGGATGGGAGGTTTGGAGGTGCCCTCATTATTCTCTTGCACATGTTTTGCAATTCCCCAGTGTGCCAGGCCTGTCATTCTCCCAGCCAGGGCATGCTGATGAATTTCTATTTCTGATCTGATAGGGAGGAATAAAAATAAAATCCAAACCACAGGTTGGTGCTGTCATTCAGCAAAGGGCTGGATCTTCCCTTCCCCCTTTTAGGGATGACACATATTGGCAGGAGAGTAAAACAGGAGCAGGGGAGGAACTTCAAACCAAGTTCTCCTGCCTGAGGCCAAGTGTGACCTTATTTCTGCCATCGGGAGTGGGACACACACTGTTGTGGCAGGTAGCCTGCATCCTGGCTTAGATACCTGCACGGTCAATAACTCTCTCAACATGCAGCCAGGAACCCCTGCTGCTTTTCTGCCCAGAACCAAGCTGTAGATCCTCAGCTAGCCCCCACCTCCCCTTTTGTTCATCCCTGGAAGTTCTTGGCTTTTGTATTTTATTATTCCCAGACATCAATGGCACTGACATTTCCAATGCTCTGCCTCATGCTCTCCCTTCCATTTAATTTTCTGTGAAGTTCAAGCTCATTTCATCACTCAGTAAATATCTCCTGACAAATTCCCCCTACCATTCTTCTTAGAAACAAGTATTTTTTTCTTTCTTTCCCATGACATTGGCCACCATGGCATCTTTCTCTAATGATGCCAACTTTCTTTTTTCAGCTGACAGACTCTAATTACTGCAAAGATTTGTTAATTCCCTTTGAGCATCCTCCTTCTTCAGTTGTTTGAGTGATAAACTGTCAGACCTAGGGCAGCTCTAAACTGGCTCAAGAGTCCTGAGTTACAGTTCATTGAGATATAGAGCAAGAGCCAGAATAGGTTAGTTCAACTAAGTGCATTAAGCAATGAAACTGAAAGGCAACTCTTTCCCATGAAGCCATCTGGCCATGAACACTTTCTAAACAAGAAAGCTTTCAACAACAGGCCCACTGTTTTCTTGGTAGAAGGCCACAGAAATCATTAGACTTATTCATCATTTACAAATATGAGGCCCACATTTCGAATGGTAACACAAATTGCCCCCGATATGTACATGAACATGTAACAAAAAGAGGGGCAGTGGGGGTCTCTATTCAGGCAACTCCAGATGAGAGGACTGGGTTGCTGGATATAGACATGGCCTTGATCTCAAGGGTGCTGCTGACTCCTCCATGGGTTCTGGGGAACTAAAAATGATGTGTGTGTCTTTCACCATAAGTAAAATAATGAAGCATTTTTACAGCATAGTTTTGAAAGAGCCAGAGTTCCAGAAAAGACTTGCCAAAGACAATGGACCATAGTTTGCTTCAATAAGGTTTTCAGACTTTGTTAAGTAATAAATAAAACTTAAAATCAAGCTCTTTGTATCAGCTTATCTCAAAGCACCTTAGAGATGGACGCAAGTATTGTTATCAGCCCTTTATGCATTGGGACACCACAGCACAAGGAGAATTGATCGTCTACAGTTATTCCAAAGACCAATAGCTCTGAAACCCGAGTGGCTCTGAAATCCCACTGCTGAATCCACTAGGTTTGATTCTCATTTGCTCAGAAGCTCAGCTATTGGCTGAAAATGGGTGTCAGTGTTTTTAATCTTCCCTAAACAGTGTCCTGAGGAATGGATAGTGGTCTGTGACCCCAAAGCTCTGCATTTTCACCTGCAGAAGTAGTAGTCTTACCCTACCCTACAACTGGGATTCTGTCAGAGCAGCTGTGCAGTGGCATTACTGAAAAAAAGCCTTTCCATCCACCCACTTACAATCTCCCCTCTCCCTATTAAAATGTGTTCTTTTGTCAGCTTGGCCCCAGACCTTCAGACAAACATCAAATGACTAGATCTGTTCCAGAGAAAACAAAACAAAACAAAACGAGGGGTCTGTACACATTGCTGGCCCCAGCCTTTTACCTGAAGACACCAGATCTCAAGCCAGGAGCAAAAAAGGAGGGTGAAGAGTATCTGAACGACAGAATCGATAACCAGTGCAGCAGAACCCAGCCGAGTTCACTCCACAGTCAGTGAGGAGTGGCTGCACTGTGCGACACAAGGCCCAGCTTTAACATTTCCTGAGATACCGTGGAGAGGCCTGCTCAGATTCATACAAATGGGACAGAGGCATCTGCCAGAAGAAATCTGATTCTGGAGACAACACTTTTCAAGAGCTGGTTGAATAAATGCAAGATGGGCTAAATATCTCCCGAATCAAAGTCTGTTCTGTCCCCTTTTGTCAAGGCCATTTTTACCTAGGCCTTGTTGGACATGTGTTGTCCCGCTTCTGAAGCCCAAAGCATGTTGGAAGGCACTTAGAGTCTTAACCATCTTGGTCTCATTACACTAAGTTGGTGTTTCAGCTGGATCTCTTCTAGGTATCTTGTGTAAAGCACTAATCCTGTTCCATGGACTGACCTCACTTTCTATCTAGATAGACAGAAAAAGATTTTCATCTCGTGCCATCCATTTACTTCTACAAAGAACTGCACCAGTCCCAAATACTGTTCCAGCCTGCTTCCATCAGCAACCAGAAAAATAACTTTGAGCCTAAATCACCACTAGAAAAAAGTAGCTGTTTTGTTCTGTCTTGGTCACCATCAGCACCTCGTGTGTGGTAAATGCACCTCTATACAGCTTTTCTCTGGTTGTGGATTGTCTTAGCTTGAGGAGACACTTCCTGGACTAATTTTATACCTACTTTACTTGTCTATTTTTCTTCCTTTCTCTAAAAATGATTCTGCCTCTACTATAGTAAAAGACAACTCTCCAGTTGCCTTGAATGGATGTGGTGTACCACTGAAGTCAATGACAAAATACACTCATGCTCTCACTGCAATAAAGAAGTCTCTTACTGTAAAGTCCACACCATGCCCCTGCAGAGAGGATGCAACTTTCAGGGATGGCTGTCACTGGAACAGTGTCTGTATAGGGGTTCAGCATGGCATTGCAGAGAAATTTCATAAAGTGTTATGTAAAGTAGCAAGAAGATCAGCACTGACCTCAAAGGCATGAAAAAAGCAAACACAAGGCATCGTAGAAAATATCAGTATCCACATGGCTAAGGAGAAACTAACACTTTAGTGCCATTATTTCTTATTGAAATGCCTGGGTGTAACATTATTTTGCTGTTTGCCACAATTTTTGGTCCTACCTCCCTTTTTTCCCTTCAAAAGTACTGTTCAGGCAAATGAGAGAAAAATAACAGCTAGACTGTGTGTGTGATTTTTTTGCATGCATATGTATGTGTTAGCTAAATGTGAAAGAGAGATGTGGAAGTTGTTTTCTAAGCAGAATTATTTTTCTGTTTTCTATGAAAATGACACAAATAGTGTTTCTAGCTCCTGGGAAGACTGTAAATAATGTGCAGATATAGGAAACACAGACAATGGTAAGCAAAAGCTATTTCCATCTCCCACTGCAGGGTGCACCAGGTAAAATCCTGTTACCAGTCTCTTTCAAAACTGCTTCAAGGTATAGTCTTGGTTGGCTGTTTAGCTGGTGGAACTGAACTAGCTCCAAATCTTATAACACATGAGGCTTTAACCCAGAAGCTTCAGGATTATAAATGCTTTACAAGTAACAAAAATCCTAAGGCTGAAGATTTTGCTGCATTGCCCTGATCTTCTACAGTCAAGACCATCACTGGAATGAACAAATACTAAATACATCAGTCTGTGCTTGGAGGATTGCTCTAATTCCTGCCTAATGATTGTATCTGAAACACGTATTTTTACTATATATACAAATTTGCTAAAATATACTGGATACTGAATAAAGTCAGATTTTGAAGAAACAAAGCCCTACTACTTTAAGAGTCTCTCCAATTTGTTTTTATATACTGTATTGTTTTAAAACAATATAGTCTTAGTGTTTCAATTAGTCTCTGACAACACTAAAGGCAGCCTCATGAGGCAAATTAGACAAGGTTTTTACAGCAGAATTAATATGGCAAATCCTCACATCCTGTGGAGTTTTATGTGCTTGTAAAAGTAGAAAAAAAAATAAAAGGTAAACTCTACAGTATATAGTAGAATTACTATCATCTACTCCAAGATCTCATAGGGTCTGGAATTATTATAGTATTTTGAAAGTAGTTACTAATTCATTCCAGTTCAGGAAAGCTTTCTGACCAAACCCAAGCTTAAATCTCATGAAAAATCAACAGGAGTAAAGCACACGTTAAAATTTAAGCATGTCTAAGTTCTTTCCTGAATCAGGGCTGTCCTTATATTTCAATGACTAAGGTACAATATCTGTGCATTGTTTCTCTTTGAATTCAAATCTATGTTAGGGATCCTACAAAGCCAAAGATAACTAGTTTTGAATGTAGGTAACATTCCACATGCATTTCTGTACAAGAACTCATGCAATATTGGCATTAATACAGACTTAACTATATGTTACAGCTGAAATGCTCACTGACTTCTCCTACTGCCCCGGCATTTCTACCTAGAAAATTGGTTTTTAAAACTTGGGAGTTTGACCTCATACCCTGTTTTCTTTGTGGCTTCTCCAGGTTTGAATGGCTATCTTTCCCACTGAACATTTTTTTTTTCTTCTTCTAGGTCTTTTCAAGGTCCTCCTAATTCCCTGAAGGAATTGTTGGGCTCAGCCTCACCCCACGATTATCTCCATTCCCAAGGGAGCACTTGCAGGATCAGGTTTTAGATGCATCACTAGGTCCAGATCAGGAAGAAGGCCTCAGTGATTCCTTAGCACACTTCACCAGGAAGAGCATCTTCAAACAACCAAACACTATGTGTGGCAGGAAGGAAAGGAACCACTTCTCAACAGCTACCTCAACAACCATCTATCCAAAGGTGCATTAACCCCTTGGCTTCTTGCCTTATCAGATACAAACTGAACTCACAGTTACTGGATGAAAGCACATCTCGGACTCCTTTCCTATCACCATCAGCTCGAGAAGTTCCATCTGTTTATGGATATCAAAGATTTAGGTTTTCCTGGTAGATCTGTGGTAAGTGTCCTGCACTGAATAGCAAGAGAACGTAGATGTGATTTCATGGCCGGTCTCTTGGTTTAGCAGAGACTCAGAGGAAGGGTGGCAGGACATGCTAACCCTGACTACAACAGGAATGGCCTGTGTCACTGAAGTGACTAAACCTTTGACTGGAGTCCAAGTTCATAATCTCTAACAGGCAGGGTCATGACTTCTAGTCAGGGTCCCTGGAAAGGCAGAGACCGGGGAGGGAGTCTGAGATTTCCACCAACAGAACAGAGGAGAGGGTAAAAGCATGTCAAATTATCTATCCCATTAAAGCTTTTACCAAGACAAAATCTCTGATGAATACTATTGTTAGCATAACCATGGCCTTTGACACCTTTACGCTTAAAAGGTCATATTTTCTCATGACCAGAATCTACAGTAGCACCCACATGATTAAACAGCCAAAAATTAGCACCCATAACCAAATCTGCACCCAGAATATTTCAGCACCTTCTGTTAGAGGATCTGAAAGCACTTTACAAATGTTAACCAACATTTGGCCTCACAACCCCCAGTGAGGTAGAACAGTATTGTCCCTGTAGGGACAGATAGACAGGTTGAGGCACAGGGTTACTAAGAGACCTGCTCCCATTCAGACACTAAATTTAGCAAAGCCAAGGGCTGAATGAAGGTGTCCTGACTAGCGTACCTATGCTTTGTCCACACTACCATCCTTTTCCCCACAAAACTTCAACAGGAGCCCTTAGCCTTTGAACTGAAACCAAGATTCTATATACAACAGGCAAGACAATCATTTAGCAGTTGTGTAGTCAGAGAGTTATTCAATTAAATGGAGTTATTTGTGGGAACAAATGATTTCTTATGCAAAACTCTGGATGTAAATGATCATGCACTAAGACTACTGGGTGCAAATTTGGTGCATAACAACTCTGACCCCTTGATAATTCCCAATCCTAGCCTCTCTCAGATAAATCTCTTTTTAAAGTTGCATTATATGTATCATTACATGAACCTCTAAAGATGCAGCCTGCACAGATTGTTTCCTACCAGCAATGCAAGCAAACAAAATGTGGAGTGGCTTTGGGAACAACTCAGCATTCATGTAGCATCAAGCATCACAATGTTATAATTCATTCTAATCACAAGGAGTTGCAAGGCAATAGGGAATAGATGTGTACATTGAAACAAAGGCAAATAGAGCAACAAAGAAAGATTTGATTGCACAGTTTTCATTTAGGTAAAGTTCTGTAATAATCAGTTTCATCGAAAGCTTATTCCATGAGAAAGGGAGGCAATGCCAGCTAGCCTATGACAAAGCTTCGGCGTATTAAAAACCACCAGCCCTGCGTGAATAGATGAACTTTGCATTCTGTAGGAGTCATTACCGATTAGTAAAAGCAAAAGATTTCTCTAAATACAGTTTGTTTTTGTCAGATAGAAGAGTTTCTTAAAATACGGGTTTTTAAACACCACAAAATTCCATTTGCTATATAAGTAGAGAATCTGGCCATAGTTAGGAATACTGAAGTGTAAAAAACCAAACATGTAGTCTTAAACATTACAAAAACTATCAAAACATTCAATACTTTGAATTGACTTTTTTTTCCCCCTACATGTGTCTGTTTTGGCAGTGATGACAAGATTTCTAAACTGAGTTGTTGATCTTACTGTTCTGCAGTTGTTGGTTGGGTTTTTTTGTACATTTTTCTGAACTTGTTTTTTAAACAAAAGAAAATTACCAGTTTTTATAAAAAAGAAGGAGCTTGAATCCTCACTCCCAAAACACAGATACAAGGTTTTCCTTTATAAAAAGTGTATTGATTTTTTGCTATAAAAAGTGACCTATAGGGTGTCAAACCTGAAAACAAATTTTCACAGTGTTTTCAGTGTTGGCTGTTCACAAGGCATTACTGTTACAGAGATAGAGAGATACCATAAGGTAGATATAAAAATTTGTTACCAGCTAGCAGTATCTTTGGATCATATGTGAAAGGTGTTCCACTCCAGATAGCTAACTTTTTTTTTCTTAATCATTAAAATATTAAAACAACAAAAAAATCCCAATATTTGAATTGCTGTTGTACTAACCTTACTTAGCATCTTACACAATCATTCCTAATGTCATCCAAGCTTCTGCTGGCATATTAAGCCTCAAACTAGTAATTTATTTTCCCTCCTGCCCTCCAACAAGAAAGACAATACTAGTTAGTATGCAGGTGCTAAAATCAGGGCTGCAAATGGGGTGCAGGTGAGCTGGCAAACGTTGGCAGTTTGGACAGGTGGAGACTATCATTTGCTCTACTTGAGCTTGCAAATTGGTCAGCAAGCGATCCATTTGCACACTTCCAGGGGGAGCTACTTTACTATCACTAGGAAAATAAGAGTTGCAGCAGCAGAAGAAATAATAGAATAAAAGGGGAAATGCACAGGATCATTGACATATTGGCCCCAAATTTTGTGCAATGTCCATTTTGCATCCCTATAACTTTGAAGAATGGTATCCCTCTATCTCTATAGACTGGTAGGTGTTGATTTGTGGCACAGAAGATAAATCACAGAAAAAAAATGACATATAACTGTGTGTCCTTTGTCTGATTTGAAAGCACCAGTCATCTATCTGCTTATTTTGGCAGAAGTACTCTACTATATCTTAAACATAACTTGCAATATGGACATTTAGCTTCATGTCGCTTTACATGGAATCTCCAAGGGAATCAGAGTCATCCAAAGACAGAGGCAGATACAAGTCCTGTAGAAAGAAAGAAGAAAATGTTAACTCTCACAATCAGTTTCCACCTTTGGGCATGTGTAAGGAAGCAGCTGAATGGTCCAATTCCATGCAGTTCGTAGGGACAGGGTGGGGAGACTCATGCACTGGTTACTGGATGGGGCTGCCCAGTTGTCCAGGTAGTTCAAGGCTAAAATCAAGGCAGGTTACTTGCACAGTGGAGCAAGAGAATCTTGGTACCAGGAGAAGGATGACTGTTCAGTGATAATTTTGAGAAGTATTTTTTTTATCGCTTCTGCATCAATGTATCTATTATAGCACGTGCATGAAAGAACAGGACCTTTCCTTAAACAAGTTTCTTTGAACCTAAGTCCACAATACAGTGTTACCTTGATTTGACAGCTACCCTTGGGACAAATCTCTAGGAAAATCACATGTTCCATGGTTTATTCTTTATTTTAAGTAATTTCTGATCGATTAGAAGGCTGAAGAAAATAATCCCCAGTTTATTATTTAGATCAAATGCTGAATGCAAAGCTTTTCCAGGGTCCCTTTCTGGGGTAACCATCTTATTCCACTTCCTTAAAGTCCTGCGTGGAACTAGGTACACAAACCTGCTCAAGGAATAAAGCTCTCCTTGGACCTTTTTGAACTCTGACCTGCACACAGGTGAGAAAAATGAAGAAAAGCCCAAATACATGGAAGGGAAATTCACAACAGTCTTGATATAAGAAGAGGTAAAACAGGACTCTGTCATGAACTCAGCATTTATTATTTGAGCTTTAGGGGAAAAAAAAGAAAAGTGGTTTCATTAGCAGGAAGTTGCTTCCGGGAGAAGGACAATGATGCATGAATATCCTGGTAACCTAAAATGCTACATCTGTGTTTGCTGATTGGTTTAAGTTAGTGGAGAAACTCATAGATAGATTGGCTTTGCCTTCAGCAGTCACCATCTATTACAGATGTTCTAGGGGCTTCACTGGCAAGGTCATAAATCAACCAGATGGAAACATATATAAAATGTTAAAAGAGTTTTACATGTCTTTACCAGGAAGCAAATCCGCATATCCAAAGTCCTAAATGAAACAGTATTTGGGAAGTATTTTAGGTCCTTGATGGCTGAAGCAAAGGATACAGTTTACTTGTGCTGAAATACATACAAGCAATTGTTGAATTCAGACTATGGGCCAGATCCTGTTCTCAGTTATAAATTAATAATAAATCTGGACCCATTGTGTTACAACTGGTGTGTTTCCTCAGGCTTAGACTGAGCATCTGAGATTAGAGTGAACTCCTGGGGAAAACACAGATTTCATTTGGATTCAGCTATGCCTGTGTTAAACTAAGTCAAATAAAGCTGAGTAACTACAGCCTCTTCATATGTTTGGAATATTTTAAAGCTCTGATTTCTGAGCTCCCCCAGTACCATTCAACCCCCTGTCTAAAGGTTTGTGATGCAAAATCTTAAATGTTAGAGGTATAATCCAAAGCCCATTGGACTTTTGAGGATTATTCTCATTGACTTCTCTGTGCTTAGTTCTACCATCATAACAACTGTAGTCCAGCTGCTGCTACTATTCCTCACTTCAAGAAAAAACATAATCCTCAAACAAAAGGTGTTCGACCCATACAATCTAGACCACGGTGGATTACATCTGCCTGGTTGACTGCAAAACCTCACCACTATCAGAATTTTTTAATTACTCTTCCAGAATTTCAAGACAATGCTTTCAAAGTTATATTTAGGCTGAGAGGTATATTCTGATTATTAAAGAGAAATCCCACTGACCTCCTCTCACAGTTACATTTATGTCCAAGTTCCCATTTCTGTATCAAGTAAAGACTGTAAGAAGCAACACTGTGACTATTTCAGAAATGAAAAAGCCCATGGAAATGATAATCTGGACTCAGTGCAGAATGGCACTGAATAACAGGAGCAAATAAAGCTGTGACTGCTGCTATACCTTTTAAATAAGTCAATATATGAACTATCTATGAGCCAGCACAGGTTTACTGATCTCTACTAAGATGCTGTGCCACCTGTTGGACACCCTGTTTGTTACCAGGAAAAACAGCTACTGTACCAGAACACAATTACTACACCAGCTCTAAAAAATGACTTGTTTCCTGTAAAACAGAGCATGGCCTTAAATAATTAAAAATAAAATCCTTGAGAGGCATCATTAAAGTGATGTCTTAGAGCTTCAGTAACATTTGCATTTCTTCTGCTGTTTAATGGACCAGATTTGCCAACACTTAAGGCTTTTCAAGAGAGGAGGGGTTATATAAGGATCATATCTATCAATAACTTGAGAACTTTTTAAAATAGTGATACAAACTCGGAGATAAGTTATTTCTTCTGATCCATATGGATGATCTCCAGCACAAATTAATAACTCCAGTGGAAGAAACAAGCCAATGATTTGTTGTTCACCATCTTGCCAGAGGCCAAAGTGACAACCCTTTTAGGTAACAGGCCAAATTCTCCACTGTTTCAACATAAGGAGATGTGCTTCCAGAGAATATGGCCATGACTTAAATGTCATACAAATCTGAGTAGATGAAGGAAGAAACAGATGTAGTAAGGTATAAGAAACATAATACCTTGTGCTTACGGAGGCTCCCTGGGCTGGTAGGTGTGGAGATCGGGGACTGCTTTGATTTGGGTGTAGACAGCTGACTGCTTGAGGTCCCATTTGCTGTCAGAAAACAAGACAGAAGCTAGTAATCAGAAAAGCAAGAGGAAGGTCTTCTTTCTCATTTGGGGAGATGGAAAGTATCCAAACATTTAACACAGAAATGCTATAGTTTATTCATGTCAGGCAGGAGAAAAAAACCAAGCAAACACCATGACTATTCACCCAATGTAAGGCTTTCAGCTGTTCCAGATAATAGACTGTAAGATACAGTGAAATACAAAATACATTGAAGGAGCAATATTTTACTCTACAAGTATTCACCAAATTGATCCAAGATATACATCACCAGAAAAACAGAAAGACAATTTCTATGTTCTCAAACAGTTTAATGCAATTGAAACCACATAGCATTTCAGGGCATGAGTGGAAACAAGACACCGCAGGTATACTGGATCCTACATAAGAAATGTTAGATGTCAGATATACACATTACAAATTAGACTAACAGCTGCCTGGAGTGCCCTGGATGTAGTTAGCTGTGGCTAGGATTAAATGGCCAAAAGAGCCCTTCTGAAGCCCTTGTGTAAGCAGAGGGTGGCATGTCCCTGTTCCCCTCCCTGGGGAGAGGCCAGAGTTGGCTCTGCTGTTCCTCCACTGCCTGCACCAGAGAAGTGAACGTGGTCCACTGTGGGAAGACCAGGAGAATCGCATCAAGAGACGATCCTCTTGCAAAGATCAAAATCTGACCTTTTCAATTGCTTTGTTTGTTCATGTTGCTTTGAATAAAACACACTTATTCTCCATTTTAAAAAATGTGATTCATTTAAACCAAATGGCTTATGGAAGGTTGTTTGTTGAAGCCTTCACAGACCTGGCTTTTAGTTAAAGTGAAGGGCCCCGAGTCTATGTCAGGGCAAGCTACTATGCGTTTATTGGACTAAAAAGGAAACAAAGTAAATACCATACTATACTGAAAAATAATGGGAAACAAAATGGAATAAGGATAAATTATTTTTTTCCTACCACTGATGTTCTTTGAAGGAAACTAATGTCTTTGATAATTGCCAGGTGTCACAATACCTATTTTATAAGGACATACTTACACATAAGTGAACTTGGTCATTCGTGGGTTGTGTATCAGCTCCAGGGATACACACCCTCTTGTTATCAGGGTTTGTAAACACACAGCTCCATCAGAACAAGCAGCATTACTTGAGGGAAGGAAATTCAAACTCATGCTGTCTGTGTCCAAGTATATTGTCTTTTCTGGCCTTTTCTTTTTGCAATCCAAGCAGCAGCAAGCTGGAGGCCCTATGAGCATTAAACTACATATCCCGACCAAGTCCATAGAAAGTGACATTTCCAAAACCTACTCCAGATGTTAACATACTCTGCACAAGCCACAAAACTAAACCCCCAATATTTTGATTGTCATTTCCTTAAAAGGCAGTAGTGTTGCCAGCCCTCCAAATAACCATACAAATCCCTACCCCTTTTAAAGAAAGCATGTTTAATTGTGTTGATGTTTCACCCAGAGAGAGAAAGACAAGCGTATAATGATCCAGGCTTGCCCTGCTCTCTGAGTGCACAGTATCTCTCTATACCCTTACTCTAACTGTAAAGGCACAGGAGGATGGATGATTTCAGCATATGTGACTTATGCTTTCAATTGTAATAGCTGAATATGTAAATCAGTTACTTAAAATTAAGTAGTTGAGTGTCTGGAGGAGACCTAAGAAGTGTATAAAGTATCATATAGTAAGAAGGTGTGCTAGTGTTGCATTTTTAAGAGCAAAACCAGCATAACTCAGGCCCAAAACAGCCTCATTCCTCTTCTCTGTTATCTTCTCGTGAGAAGGAAGGGGGCAGTTAAGGTTCGTAGTATCACTGGCCCAAACGTAGAGGTTATACGTGTGAATTCAAGTAAGTGTAAAGAAACATGTGCTCTAAGCCACAGGACAAAGGAGGAGCTGGTGGCATGTTAAAGCAGCTCCGACTCAACAGATTCATGGTGATGTGGGCCCTCCATCTTCATATCCATCATTTCTTTGCAGAAGGCACTGCTGGGAAGAGGAGGCTATTTGTCACAGATAGCATTTTTCCCATTACAAATGCTCCTCACTGAGGAAATAGGTATTTCTTAAAAGGTAGTAGAAATAATGATTTATAGATAATTGGGGAACAGAGTGACCCTTCACCTCCCCATTCCACTCACATCATTCTTTATTAGTGGGGGGAAAATCTAGTTATGGAAACCCAGAAACTGTTACACAGTGGTCCCTGTACTGCAACGTGCCACTCTTCACTTTGCTCCAGTTCTACAAAGTGACCTGCCCTCAAGATTGGTGGGAGAAACAGTAGAATTCACTAACTATATGCCATATAATGAAGGCAATTCAGAAAAAAATAAATTGGATATCTTTATTGTTTTTTTCACCAAGTGAGTTTAGGTTTTCTATTAAAGAAGATGTGGGGTACAGTAGTACTAATATAGTCTGTATTAGCTAGAATCCATCTCTAATTTCTAAAATGCCTCTTTCTTTATTTCCAGTTGTCACTGATCCTGAGGCAGGAAGTAATCCTTCCTAAGATGAAGAATGCCACATAACAACTCTACAAAGAGCCCAAAATTTCTTTCCACAAGCAGGAAGACTGGAAGAACAGCTAACAGTCGGGGTGCAGCAAATAGATGTAATTGCTTCAGGGAAGGACAAAATTCCCTAATACAATGACACTTTTAAGTGCTACAGCAGGGACGTTAATATTTTATGAGCACCAACGAAAAAACAGATGTGATATCCAAATCAGAAATCCAATGAGACAGATGTATATCATTACAAATACTCACAAAGAATTTTGCAGCAGGAGCAACAATTATGAAGCCCAGTTTAATTTTCTCTATGTCTGCTAATGAAGAATAGTGTTCATAACCAAACTTGCAGGCTTTTGAACTCAAATGCAAGAAAATAACAAGAGGCAAAGAGCAGATCCCAGGTGGTGTATAACACTGCTACTCCACTAAAATCTGCTGATGACTTATGGTAGCTACAGATCTCACATAACCTTGGCTATTAGAAACCATTCTTTAAAACCAGCTTTCATTTTAATTCATTTGTTTTTTTCCCACTGCGTTATTCTTGGTGTATTATGTCTTATTTATGTCATTGTATTTGCTTTGCAACCTCAATTTACCTTAAAGTCCCTTTGTGCATATGACACATCCTTTAATTGCATGCGCATATACACTACCTTTATTCATAGGATCCTTACCTCCTTCAGTGAACAAGACAATTTGTGTTTGGGAGATAAATCAGGCTTGTCCAGCAAATGAGAGGGAGGATGGAGAATATAGCATCATGTCATGTTTGAGATGGCTATGAGAGATTCAGGTAAACTGAATTCTTTGCCTGCTTCTCCCACAGATATTTTAGCCAAAATTGTCATATTCAATTGTTCCTTGAGGGTTGCTCAGGTTTGCTTGGGTGACTGGGACTCTGGATCTGAATGTCCAGCAATGATAAGCACTGAGACCTGTAAATGACCATCTTTTGAACTCACATTTCTATCAATGAACAGAACTGGAAAAAGCAGGGCCCAAGGTTCACAGTGGGTGCTCAAAATGTGTGGAGATCTCTCTTTTTCTATCAATTTGTAAAATAAGATTAATACTTCTTGCCCCATTGGGATTCCCCAGATTCTGCAGATGAGTTCCTAGTTTGAGGAGCAAACATGCTCGTACATCACAAGAGTGAAAGGACCATGAAATACATGGATAGTTCTGTCTCCAGGTCAGGGTTTGAAGCATCACCAAGAAAATAAAGAGAGGCAACAGCCAGAACAAGGACAGCATATAGCAAATAAAGAAATAGCAGCTTGTTTAGTGAGCACAAGTCATCCTGCCCTCCAGGACAGAGGAGCATGTGGGAAAAATAAAGACTCCATTGCAGTGTTCATTCAGGAGTGGAAGAATTCAGATTGCACAGGCATCCTTCACTGAGGCACCTCCTAACTTCCAAGCACTCAGCTCTGCGGTGTTGGCACCCTTTTCTCATCACGTTTTGTGAGGTTGATCTCTCCACCGGATGCAGACTGTGGATTGTCAGCTAGCAGAACGTAAGTAAGTGCAAGTGGGATAACAAGCTGCTCTATCTTGTGTGCAATCCAAAAGACATCTGCTGCCTTTTTAACACATTCATTTATAATGACCCTGGGGAGCTAGATCTGCAGTCAGGACAGACTGACGTTCTGTATCTGTTTTGCTAATTGCTGCTGCCTTGTGAATATGCTTTTGTCCCTCTATCCAAACTCTTCCATTAGAGGATTGAGACATTAAAGTCCTGCAGCAGTGCCTCAGAGTCTTGTTCATAGGCTCCCTGAGCCAAATCAAGGCAAAGCTGGGGAAAGACATTTTCAAATTTCAGCTCAGGTACCTGTGGCTCTGATCTGCAAAGGACTAAGATCATCTTGGTTTTCAAAATCATAAACTTTCCTATGACAGCACATGTATTTAGACAACTGAACTCTTGCTTGTTATGTGACTGTAAGATAAATTCATATTTTTATAACAAAGAAGTAATGCCAAATGGTATTGTTTTCTCCCATGTATTTCTCCCCTGAGATTTAGCTGTCTTTTGTTTGGTTTGACTTCATATTGGAGTGGTCTGTTAAAGAAATTCTGCCAAACTTCATGCTGACCCTACCCCATTTAAATCTCATGGACCATAGCAGCTGCACAGAGACTTATCTTCTTACACCCAGTTTTCCTCTGTCATGTTAGGAGAAGGATTTGGATGGTATACTGCAAGGCGTAGTTTAGTCTAGATTTTCTTGCTCTAAGCTGACTTCATAGAAAGAAAAATTGAGGCTAGAAATAACCAGCTTTGTAACTCCGTGTTAACCTCACCTTGCTGGAAGCAACACGTTAAGGGAGTTAGGTGGAGGACATAGATGAAAGACAGCATCACAGCTCCAGCACCAAAGAGATGGGAAACAAAAGGATATATTGGATGCCCAGTGGGAACTTCTGGCAAAGCAGTCAGGGCGTTCCCGTCAAACTGAACCAAGAGGTGAAAATGGCCCCATGGTGGAATGATCAGCACAGTGTCTGGAGGAATAGCTGGATCAAACCAGAAATACACTGGCATTGCTGAGAAGGTATATATTTATGGGTTGGGGGTTAACAAGGAAGAAAGGATTCCCCTTGGGAATATGAGGACTGTGGTGTGTTACCATCTGCTTATAGCAAGACATTTCATTCTTCATTCATTCATTTCATTTTCATTCATTCATTAATATAATTTTCATTCGTTGATTCATTTAAATGACTGTATGGTAAATAAAGAAATAAAAATACTGTGCCAAGAAAACAGTGTTTAACATGTTTTTGTGGATTAGCTACCTAATTTTCTGAATATCCTTGAAGCTGAAGGGCTCAGACTTCCTAGAGGGAATTGAGCTTTTCACAGTGAGGCCATGACACATCTAGGCAGGAGGCAAATTACCTCCGGCAGAAGATAGCAATTCAACCAGTGAACTCAAATCACTGCAGCTGGGAGCTGGCACTCTGTGTGGTTGCACTTCTGTGCATGGCCGTTTGTTCTGACATTTTTTAACAAAACACTTTGTTTAGGTGTTCTTTGTTGCTCCATGTTAATCCTTGCTATTTTAGAATGGGAGCTGACTACTTACTTAGGTGGTTCACTACCAGGACTGCTGTAACAAGACAGTCAAACAGTACATTACAGTTCACATCTAGCTCGTGACAGGAGCAATTAAATAGCTTAGAAGCTCCTTCTGTTTCAGTGCTAGATTTACAGACTTGCTACATATACTTCCTTCTGTATTCTGCTGTCATTCTGACTCAGAGGTGGCCCCAGAGACCACAGTGAGGAACAAAGCTTTGGGTGCCATCAGGGGAAACTGGACTCTAGCCAGCAGTCCACTCTTTTTGGCTCTCCCAGAAAGCTCATTAAACCTGGATCTGTATTTTTCACTGAGAAGTAGATCACTAAATCCATAGCCAAAACCGGAAGGAGCAAAGGATATCAAAGATGAGTAGAAATCACTGGGCACAGAAGACAGATCCCTACATAGAAAGCTTCCAGGCTGACAGATCAGCTCAGATGGGAATCTACAGAGTCTGTGATGATGGCTAAGACAGCATCAAGCCACGCAGCTGTGTTCATTCACCTGCATAACCTGACAGTTCACTGCGGCAGGACTGAATGCATGTGTGCAGGTTGCTGGAGCAGTCTCTGATCCACTGGAGTGTGGGTAGTGGCCTTGCTAGATTGTGGCTTGCCTTTGTTGGAAGATCTGGAGCACATGATGCAGTCACTCTGCTGCTGGAGATGTCTTTTGTCTCTGGCAATCTGTGAGATAATAGCTTTGGTTTTAGCAATATTATTCTCCCAATGCTTTCAGAATACACAAAAAGCCCCAAATAAAGAGCCTCAAAGCTCTTTCCTGTGCATGATTTCATGGGTACATTACAGAGCTGGGTACACAGATTGCTTATCACTGTCTTGGACGATCCATTGGGAAAGAAGGCATGAACAGCTTAAATAATGTACTCAAAGCCATGGAGTGAGTCAGAGGAGGAGACTGGAATAAAACACAAGTCTCCAGATACCCCAGCCTGTGTGGAGGATAGCTGCTGCTCGGGCACAAAGCATTTCCACAGCTTTGAATAAAAGTGTTTTATTTATGTTGACACATAAAGATCAGAAGCGTTCCTACAGTGAGTGGAAGGGAAAGTGGATGCAATGTTTGCACACTGTCAACGTTACATCCTCAGAATTAGCACTGCCAAGCTCTGCTGAAGCAGTTTTTTCTGTTCTCTCTGTGCTATAACAGTGACTTACCACTTTTGTCCACTATCTGCTGGCAGCATCGAAGCTCTTGCCAAGGACTGAGGCACAGTTGTGCATGCACAATCTGCTTTAAGCCTTAGCTGCTTTTGCGGGCAATGCATGTGGACCACTGTCCACATGTAAATCCACTGCATTCTCATTTTTGCTGCTGATAAATAATATACCATTTTCTCATATGTTTTAATGTGGAAATGGAATAATTAGGATGAGCAATGGAAGAAAATAACATCCTTTTCTGTAACTGTGGTGTGCTTGTAATGAGAAGGGTTCTGCCTTCTTTCACTCAAGCAGCATGGAGATTTATTTCAGAATCTGCATTTACATCAGTGCCCAGGTATGTCACAATGGCCTTAGAGATGTCGGAAAAAAACAATGCAGAATCCTACATGGAAAAAGAACTGAAGAGAACAGACTGAAGAAAACTTCGAATTCTGATACGACATCCAAAGCATAGTGAAAGACAGCAAAGGCAGAAGATACAAATGGGTGGGAGATCAAACACGTAGCAAAAATATTTAATATATTTGAAATAAAACTGCTTTTAAATCCTTTCACAAATGAAATGAGAATGATGAAAAACAGATGGGTCAGATCATCTTTTATTAATCAGGCTTTACTCAGCATTTCTTGCCTTTTTAATGTGTTATCTTCAAGATCCAGCTAAACCTGTTGATTGTTTATGTAAATATTGACTCTTAAGTAATGTCTAGACCTACTTTCTTTATTACAAATTCAAGGGACAAGAAGACAAAATAGTATTCTTGTTTTCTCTCTGTCCTGAGAAAAGAACTGTCTGATTACCTTTCCAGCAGTGAGAGTGTTCAGTCATTTTTTATTCTCATTAAGCAGGACACACTGCCATTTTTTTTTCTGTATTGACATCACAGGAAAGTACGAAAGACCCTTGTCTAGATAGATTAAAGAAACTTGATTTGTCCTTCATTGATGATCTTAACTCCAGGAGCTGGCTATTGTTCAGCACTTCTGGTTATTTTAATCTCCTTCTGAAAAGCTCTACTAACTGCATTCATTAAACTTCATCAGATGACTCACCATTTTGTTCCTGTGAGTCATTCAATCATCTAAAATCAGGAAGGCACTAGTTGCCATTTCACATTAGACTATATGTTCATGCAATAAAGTCTAGTTCTGGTGGTAATTAGCACCTGATGCTTATGGAGAAGGTTTAAATGCTGTTCCACAACTCATGCATGAGCTGACTCCCAGATCATTGAATGGGAGTTGTTGGTGTTTTTTTAAATCAACATATTTTCCATCATGTCTTCAAAGTACCTACACAACTTTACCATGCATTTGGGATTGTAAAAGCATTTTAGATTATAGCAAGCCTGAGTATAAGAACAGTCAACACTGGAATCTTGAAGGAAAACTCTATGAATGCAAAATCACCTTAAAGAGAAATAACATTTTCACAATCACAGAGTCTTGGCATGTGCCAAACAACTTCACATTGTCGCTTTAAGTAGCTGAAGTACATAAAGAGACCATAAACAAATTAACTGCTTCCCAGGGAAAATCTTTCTGTATACTGTCAGGAGAATTTTACATGCAATGATCCAGTATCTACTGATGGTCAAGTGTTGTGTGGTGTTCACATGCAATATGCAATGTGTTACCGTGAAGGTGAAAAGCAGTTTCTGTTTTTTATCATCTGTGTTAATACTGTGGGTCACTAGAATTTAACCCCTGAAGTTCTCCTGCAGGCCTGAAGTGCTTATTTGGTGATTTGGCCATTTTAGTGAAAGGCCATGTCTGGCTCTCTTTTGGAAATAAAAGCGGCAGACAGATGACACACCTAGAGATCCATCTTCTCCATCATGAATCTAAAAAACTCTCTATTACTCTAAAAACTATCAATTACCAGAAGTGTGATATTCAACCCAGCCTTTCATTTATACGCTCTGCAGCTCTGCAGGTTTGCTACACCACCAATCCAGTTGCTGCTGAAGAAGGAGGAAGGCAATTTAAATGGTGCAAGCTGCTGCAGCAAATTAGGATTCCCGTTTTCTTTCTCTTCTATTACTGAATGAATGTCTCAATATCACATCAATAAACCCATCACCAGTTCTCCAATTGCAAGGTCACTGGTATTCTTTAAATAATGATTAGAAGGAAAAACATCTGACCTGTACAATAATTAACATTTGCATTGCACAGGAGGTTATTCTAAATCACTCTGTATCTATAGGGAACATATGGGAGCACTCTGGGCCTTGATTTCCTGCATGTGAAATGGAAACTTCTTTTAAAATTTTGTTAGGACAGGAGGCTGTGAGGCTGTGGGTGGTATGACCTAAAGCCACAGTTGCACTTAACTGACCAGAGAATTCCTCTCCCATATTTATTAAATCCCCACGTACACTAGTACCAGCATCTTGTTTTTTAAAAATGCCGAAATTTCATGTGTAAACATCCAAGGTAAGTGTATCCAAAGACACACAATATGTTTTTCCCTTGAGCATTGTTAGTATTCAGACACCAGAAAACAATCACTCACCATCTTGATGGTTACCTGAATCGGCTGGAGACTTGCTCCGGCGCATGGGGGCTGGACTCTTTGCTGAGCTCTTCTGAGGGGTGGGAGATGACTTACTGCCCGTGGCAGTCGCGGGGCTCCCTTTCATCACCCGGCACTCTAAGGAAACAGACAGCATCCATGGTTATGTCCCTGCCTACTCGCTGCCTATGGACACCAGGTAAGAAATGCCCACGGGCAGCTTAGTGCTTTGTCTCCAAAGAGCTGTTGAAAACATCAATGACAAGGGAAAAGATGATATCTCTACATTTTCTCCAGAGCAGAAAGGAGACAACTCAGGGGGAGGGCAAAAAGAAGAGCAGCTTTGCTCTTCTAGAGGAGGTGCTGAGACAATGTATGACAAGATCAGGCTGGCTCCCTAGCAGGGCCCATCTGCTATCAAAGATTTTCTGCCCTTCCCCTTGCCTTCATTCTCACCACCGAATGAACACAATGAAAGTGGTCAATACTGACTAAGGGAAGAATCAGTCCAAAAAAAACAGTTAATTTGCTGTAATCCTTCCATGAAGACCCAGTAGTAGGAATGACGAGTGCAATTTATTCAGGTGCAGAAAGCCAGCATGGCATGATGCAAAGGTCTCTAAGTGGCAGATGGGATATCTGCCCCAAGAGGCTTTCACCCAGCTTGAATCAACTTCTTCTCTGGTTTCAACAAGCTGCAACTTTTCAGATGCAGAAAGCAAAGAAGACAAAACGGTTTTACAAAACATGTCTTCTCTCCTGGCCACTCATCCCTCTCAGAAAGGTTTGTATAAACAAGTCTGGTAGATTTATGTACTTAAAGACATGAGCAGATGAGAACCCCAACTGTGTTTTCTTAAAAAATATATAGGCCAGAAAAAGTGGAAAATCTAAACATGATCTACAATGTCCTGCAGAAGGAAACTGAAATGCTAACAAACCTCTGTGTGTCCAGGACTTCAGGCATGCCAGTTCTTCAAAACCAGGGTTTATTTACACTGAGAGCTAACAGAAAAAGCAGTTTCCACCCCTCAAGTTATTAACTTAACCCAGTTAAAGAAGAAAGCAATAAAAAGGGGATTTCCTTTTAGTCAAATGCTAACTGGTCTCACCTCATCTCCGACAACAGATCATCCTCACCAAGATGTGAAAAACAGGTCTTTTTTACAGCTGTGAATTAGATGTTCCACTTACAGGTTTTTATGGAAAAGTTCAGCTCAGCATGCATGGGCTGGACTGAGGACGCCCTCGACTGGATTCCCTAATGGGAATCAACTAAGGCAGCCCATAGCAGGTAAAGAATTGGTCAACTGAAAACAAGTTGTCTGACCTAAATATATGTGTTATTTATATACATATATATATATCAGTATATCTATGAAAATGTAACTGCCTTAAACGTTTCCCCCAGTTTTCCTCATTCTCAGACAGTCAAGAGTCAGTCTTTTCTGCCAGTTGGTTTGCGAGAGTTTGCTGTTGGGTCATGGAGTACAAGAATATGAAGAGAGGATGCCCTGTGCTCCAGGGATACTGCATGGTGATAATTAAACCTACAGTGAGTTTATTCTCTCTCTTGATAAATGGATTTTGGGTACTGTAAATCAGGGATAGAAAAAGTTGTGTATTTTTTTTGTTCAAGGTACTTGACTTCTCACAGATGATGCCATAGAAAGGCTTGTAGGACTCCAGCATGGATAAGAGCCCCAATTTTTATACACGAAGAGCAGTAATGATTTGGGGGGGAGGTGTGGATGGTAGACTATCCCTTCTTGATACTAAAGAATATAGTGTTTGATGAGACACTGTGAAACATCCACTAAGGAGAGTATGCAAATAACCTCTCCTGGTCTTAACCAGCCAAGCCAAAACATGGGGAAAAATTATTTTCAGTCACTGTGGAAATAATATTTTTCAAGTCTCTTACATATAGCTGTTTTAACAAAAACAGTGCAACATTTTGATCTTAAAACATGATTCATTTGCCCAGCCAGAGGCACCAAATGCTAGAGTACAGCCTCCCGGGAGCAGAGTGGGTGTCCTGGTGCCCCTGGGTGATATCTGTCAATCATATATCACGGGGATATCTCAGAAACCAAGGGGGTCTCAAAGGGTGTCAGACATCTATGTTTAGTCACCTGAATTACCCCCCAAAAAAAATAAACCCAAAAAAGTAAAAATACTTTATGTTGCGTCTTTTCAAGAGTTTTCAAATTTATTTTCTTCCTAGGGGAGTAATTCCTTGAAAAGAAACTCAGCTTTGCATTTTCCAGCACGGAAAGGCTGACTCTGAGGAACTCCTCCAGCTCAGCCGTTGGCAAGTGTCAGTACACCAAAAGCAATCACTGAGCATTTGCACATCTTGAAACAAGGTTCTAAAGGTAGAAACCTGACTGTGCTGAAGTTGGTGTAAACAGGCCCCTAGACATCCCAGGAGGCCTGACATTGCCATGGGCTGATGCTGAAATCTGGGGTACGAATGAGACAGAGCAACGTCATCTGGAAGGTGCTCAGCAGCAGGGATTATAGGGTGGAAGCTGTGGTGGGCAGTCGGGAGGAAAAAGATGACACAATCCTCTCTTATGCTATTTCTCATTTTGTTTCCTGATGTCCTGCCAGACCGAACATAATAACCAGCAATCCAAGTGCATGTCATCCAAACAGGCAAGAAAAAGTACCCCATGACAGAGGAGATTTTAATAAGTGACATTCATCTGCAAGATCTCAGGACTTACAGTTCTCCTTGCAGCATCTGACTCATAACAAGGAAGGATGACGGGTGTATAATGGGAAAATGCTGCAGGCTAATAGCTCCTCATCTGCTTTGTGAGAGGTGCAGGGCACCCCTACTCCCCTGAAAATTACTCAGTGCCTTCCCAACAGCAGACTTGACTTATTTTTGTGAGAGAAATCCAAGCTGGAAAAATCAGTAGTAATCAGGAGTGTAGGCAGAGAGCTGGGCTTCCCATTAAGTGTTCTGCTAGGATTGCATCCAAACTGTTTTACAGTGTGGAACTCCCTGTGGAGCTGACTCAACTGCTGAGTGTTAAAAAAAATATGAAGCTCAGGTTACAGATTGCTTCCCCAGCCTGACATAGGCTTTATTTTCTGCCTGCGAAGTTTCCCCTGAACCTTGGAAACTTTCTTTGAATTACCCAAGACCATCAAATGGGTTCATCTGGAGTACACAGGTCAGAAGTAGCAGCATCAAATAAAATCAGGCTTGTAAAGGAGTCATAAAAATACAGTGTTTGAAGATTAGAGGCTGCTTGACTTCTGGTATACAGCAAAAGTCCTCTTTGGTCTTCAATGACAAGCCAGTTTGTAGCATGTAAGACATAACAGGGCTCGTGTTCCTTGTACAGGATACTTAGAGCTTTGGGAAATGAGCCTGAATGTTTGGAGGCCACATTTTCTTCTAGTATAAATGGTCAAAGTTACATTAATTTACTCTTGCTGCACTCATTGCCACCAGCAGACAGCCTGTGCTCTTGGTGTATATAGTTGCTAGGTGGGGTAAGTGGTAACTCCTACAAGCAAGCTCTGTGTATTCTGCGAAATCAAAGATTTCATGGCTTAATTGATCATAGACACTCACATTGTTACAGATCTGTTCTTGCAGTTGTAACAGGGACAAATAAAATGGCTCTGTCCCAGTCCCATCCCTAAAAAGGGAATTATTGGTCTGCTGTTTGAATCAGCAGGAGAAAGCAGTGGAGAGAGTGATTTTTCTTTTAACTGTTCTTCTTCCCATTTTTTAATATTCACATGTGTACGTAAGGACAAGAGTCCTTCTACTGTTTAGTTCTCAATAAAAATGTATCTATCTGACAGCAACTGGATAAATTTGAAAGAATATACACTACCAGATTTTATAGTAAATGTAAAATGGTGTAGGAGTCCCAACTATTCTGAATTGGGCTACCTCAGTCAATATCTGCCCAATTATAATATCCACTGACTACACAAATATCACAAAAGGATGTCAAATTCCATGTATTAGGTCTTTAAAAACATAGCAAAAGCATGCAGCATTATTATCTAATAGAAGCAACTGAATGGAAATCAAATAAAAACACAGACTGGAGAGCAGTGTGTGTTTGATGTTACCGCTTTCATCCAGAGAGAAGTCATCCTGTGCATAGCGGAATTTTTCTGGACCACAGGCGATAAACACATCATCATCCCCAAAGAAATCGTGGAGACAGGTCACCTACAGAGAGAGCAAAGTAATTCATTTTATTTTTAATTGGCAACTTTATGATGTGGCTTAGTTTTAATTTAAACAGGAGGGAGCTGCCTCTCCGCTGTTCCCCCTGTCCCATACTAATTTGGTCCTACTTCCCGTACGGCTGGTGCACAACACACAACTTCTCTCAGCAAGTCAAGCATGAAAGTGTAATTTAAAAAGGAGGGGAAAAAAAACCCCAGCTACCTTGCAAATTCTATGAGGTATGGCATTTACAATCCATTCAGGAGCTGACAGAATACATTAGTCACCCTAATGAATGACACATTGCATTCCTGAGCTACTTCTAACATAAGAAGCAGGGGTGCCCCTCATGCCATGTTGGCAGGCAAGGCTGTGGCACCACTGCCCGGGCTGATGAGTATCTTAGTACCAACAGAGCCTGCAAAGTCAAAGAACCACTAATCATACAATGATAGAATCATAGAATGGTTTGGGAAGGGATCTTAAACCCCACCCAGTGGCACCCTCTGCCCCGGGCAGGGCCCCCTTCCCCCAGCCCAGGGTGCTCCCAGCCCCGTCCAACCTGGCCTTGAACCCTTCCAGGGAGGGGGCAGCCACAGCTGCTCTGGGCACCCTGGGCCAGCGCCTCGCCACCCTCAACAGGAAAGAATTTCTGCCTTACATTTAATCTAAATCTGCCCTCTGTCAGTTTAAAACTATCATCCCTCATCCTATCCCTGCCCCCCTAACCCAGAGTCCCTCCCCACCTTCCCTGTGCCCCCGTTAAGCCCTGGGAGGCCGCTCGAAGGTCTCCCCGGAGCCTTCTCTTCTCCAGGCTGAACCCCTCCAACTCTCTCAGCCCGGCCTCCCAGGGGAGCTGCTCCAGCCCCCCCAGCATCTTCGTGGCCTCCTCTGGCCCCACTCGAGCAGCTCCGTGCCCTGCTGCTGTTGGGGGCCCCCGAGCTGAACGCAGGTGGCCTCTCTCTAAGAAGGTGAGTTGCTGCTGGGCACAGCACAGGTGCAGAAACGTGCAACATTGTGGAACATCTCCAGCATCAGCCAGCCTGGTGCAGCCCATCAGCCACACATCTGAGCACCCAGGTAAGTACAAGGTAAATGTGTTTTTTTTTTTTTAAGTTCTGTTTTTTCAGGAGACCATTTCAAATGACTGCAAGTTTAGCGCTGATGTTTATAATGGAGGTGTCAGGCTGACAGCTGATGCCCAGTCTTTTGGCATGTCTGGGCACTGGGGTCGTTACAGAGGGCGGATGCATTGCAAGGGACTGGAGGGAGCACTGGAGAGAATTGTGGGGAAACTTACTGTAGACAGAGCTGAATTTCCATATCTACTGATCTCTTTGAGCTGGACTGTGAAAAGTTAATTTCAAGCTCTAATAAATCAACTATAAAGAAGGCTTTCTGATATCTTAATAAGGCTTGGTATTTCACACTAGTTAATATAATGTATAATTAAAACACTGCCTAAGATTGCCAGCTCTGGTTAAAATGCCAAACTTTTGTGAAAAGCTTGCTTTTCATATCAGCATGACTTTCAAAATGGTGCAAGCTGAAATCTGTTATGGCTTTGATCAAAAGTAGAATTTTCTTTGCAAACTTTAGTGAATTCCAATTTCTGTTTGCCTAAAATTAGGTTGAAAATAGTTAGCTATGTTACCTATAGGAAATTCTCCCACAGAAAGATGACATTTCAAACCAGCACTTGGTATTACAGTCCTCCCCCTGAGGATGAGTGGCACTGATTCATTTGCAAATAATTGTGTTTGGTTCAATACCCAAGTTCCCATTTGAATGCTAAGTACTATACCTATGCCATGGAAAAGACTCATGGATTGCTTAGTTCACCCTTCAGTACAGAAACCACTGTGCAATTAAACACAGTGCAAAGCTAGATCACAGCAGAAGGGCTCAAAGATTTTCTGCCCTTTTAGATGAAATCAGAAAGAACCCACAGGTGCTTTTATTGTCTCCAGATCATAATCGTATATTTTGTCCTTGAACTCCCAACAGCCACCACAAGCAAAAAGAGTCCAGGCAACCAAGAAAGCCTTCAGATTAGGGGTCCAAACCCAATGGAAAACTACCAGCACACACAAGGATAGAGACCTGATTATGTGCCAAGCAGAGATACTTGCAATTCACTTTGCTGCATCCTTGTCCTTTCAGATAGTACATTATTATGTATATTTTATAATTATGAACAGCTGGCTGGATGAGTACTGGAGGCTGGTAAAGAAATTAGATCATCTACTTGTTGAGCTCCTAATATTCAGGAAATAATAACTCCTGTATTTGTTTTATTTGTTCCCTTTTGTTTCCTGCTGTAAATGCCACTATTAAGAACTCACCACAACATGGTAGAAAAGACAGACAAAAAACAACCCCACTTTCACTGAATAGTGCAAAACATTGCAAAATTCAGAAAATAACAGGTGTCATACAGTATGCAGTTTTAGCTATGTTGCTTATGTTCACCCTGTGTGTGGTATTTTCTATTTACCTTTTGTTTATTAAATTTAAATCCTTGATCATTACTGTATGTCCCTGAAACATGCCCCATATGTGTTGCTGTCTACATAAAGGAGTAAACTTTGTGAAAACATGTGACTTCCGTGCTGGATCTTACAGCACCAGAGTCAGCTTGCCTAAGTGCTGCATAGAAAAAGAAAACCACCAGGAGAAAGCCCTAAATATGCTCATCCCTGAAGGACAAGGAGCTGAAGAGGACACGAGCCAGGAAGTGGGACTGTGGGCTGCTCTGCTGGCATAGCTGGTTCGAGACTTTATTAGCCACTATGGAACATTTCAGGGTTGTTCTTGACAAGCAAGGCCAAATCTCTACTCTGCATTAAAATTATAGGGGGTTTCAGTGACTCCAGAATAACCTTATAAGTCTTATCTCTATTCCTCAAAAGTCTTTTTTATCATGTTTTCTCAGTAAAAAAATAAAAGTCTCCCCCCCAAGCAGTCCGGACTGTTTTAAAAGTGTATGTCCTGCTTTTCCTTACTCTAATCTACTATTCTAATTACGGCCAATAATGAGTCTGGAACACCATGAAAACCCTGAAAGTTCACATCAACAAAAATTTACCCCAGCTGACAATTTGAAAATCATTGCTTTTAAATGCTGCGTTTTGCTCTTAGCTATAAATGTATTAAAGCACAAGACAAAACCTGATAGTAGCCTCCTAGTGCAAGGACCTCTGCTGCTACCTGAAAACAGTGATTTTGTTGGTGACTGTTATCATGCACCCTTAGCAATGATACCAGAAACCATCAAATTAGTAAGATTTTGTCTTTTTCCATTTTTAAGTCTACAAGCTTTTTTATTTACAACAAAAATTAAACTTGTGTATATAATTACAGTAGACAGGATAAATAGCATTGATTTCCAAGATATATGTATGTGCCTTTGTTTAAAGAAGGATAATATTTAATTTGAAATTCAGGATTAAAAAGACAATATTGATTTAAAAAGGATCATACTGCATGAAATGTTTTCTCTCCAATTCCTGTAGTTTAAGCAATTCCAATGAAGGAAATTAAATCTTCACACTTCAGTTGATAAGGTACACATTTACTTCTCACAAAATTATAATTTCTAGTAGATTTGATGGTAACATTTTTTGTTGTGTCGAGGTTTGATTTTTTTGTTTTTGTTTTTATTTTAAATTATGTTATGGAAGAAACAGAAGTTGGTAGAGATTAACAGAGATTTTAGGGAGTACAAAACTGTTTGCAATTCCTTAGGTTTTCATTAAGTGTGGTTTCTTTTCTCGGTGAATTAAATCCTTCTCTGTTTATATTAGAAAAACTACCCCTGAGAGGACAATACAGCTAGGATTTCCAAGAGGGGATTTCTGCAGTGACAGTCCATTAGTGTCTGCTGCAGCAATTTTAATTGCAGAAAGGAAAGATACAGCCTTCTGAGAGATGCTTAGCCTTCTTGTTCATTTTAATACAGTAGCTGTATAACTAAGCATTTTTCAGGATTTTGACAAAATGGAGCTTGCCTCAAGAATCTCTCTGAATGTGAGCTCACAGTTTGCTGAAATATCTGTGATACTACAGATATTCTGAGCGCATCTGGAAAATGGGCAGTAAATATGCAGGATATATACCTGCCCAGCTGTGAATAACTGGCTATTTCTACCATCCTCCAGGAGGCAGCAGCAGTATTTAAAAATTGCAATTCATTAACAAATAAAATAATTTAAAAGAATTAGAAATCAAAAGCCTGAAGGCTTAAGCTTTAGTCTGAATCACCTACCAGTGCAGAACCCTCTGTGCTTTAAAAGGGTGTTATGATTGACCAGCTCCTTTTGTTCCCTTTCACAATCTGCAGAATGACAGAGTTTGCTGTGTCTGCGTGGCTAACGGGCTGCCCTCACTGTCACTCTCTACAGCGACACGTATGAACATGAACACTGTCACAGTAGTGACAGCCTCCAGCCACATTTCGGTTGCTTTTGCTGCTGGATTGAGCTCTGCAGATCCTGTGGCTGCCACTTTAGCAGGAGGCCTCCGGTAGCCTGGACTGGCCATCACTGTTTGCCAAGAAGATGGCAGAGCACGTCTCTGAAGAGGAACACATCACCAGGAGGGTTAACTGAACACTCTTTTTCACCTTTCTGAGAAATGTCTTTATCAGAGGTTCCTATTTTTAGCTGATGGAGCCAGCTGAAGCTGAATGATAAATGATCAGACACTGTAGCTGGTGATTATTCAGAACAGTGATTTATGTACATAGTCCTGCTTCCAGATTTTCCATCTCTTCCTTATGTCATGGAATGAGGAAGGACCTCTGCCTAAATGGCCAGCAGAGGTCTGGCAAAGGAGATTTGGAATAATACCACCACAGGTTTGACCTGGGGTTCTGAATATTAACGCATCTTGGAGACTATCATCTTTAACCAACTGCTTGACTCTGAGCAACTCTTCGGATAAGTGAGGGCAGTGCAAGGCTTCTTCCTCTGCTCCTCTCTCCCTTAGTCATAATGACT